CAATACTTGGGAGGTACTTGAATGATACTTGAGGTGTCTTGATGAAGAATCGCACTGATATGAAAACTAATCTAAGTCGTGATCTATTCAAAGAAGCCTGATTTAATATTTTTTTAGAATTTCTACAGAATATTTTACACTTAGTTATCTACTTTTCAAGAGGTTGGCAAGATAAGTTAGAGTTAATTTAATCAAAAATACAATATTTTGGTTGATGCAATATTCCTGTACATGAATTCAATGCAGTGTACAATGAGGGAAATTTTGCCAGGACAGCAACATTAGCCTACCCTTTTCCAACTGTCAAGGGATCTTTAACGTGTACAGCCTGTAGCACACGAGGCCTCGGTTTATTGTCCCATCTGAACATAGCTATGTAATTCAGGCACTGTCACTGAGTGAAAACACACTAAAGTTTATGAAAGAATCTTCGAAACAAGTATAGTCATCCACTAATAGCACTTTACTTCACCGGCGTAATGTCAAATCTGTAAGCCACTGAGTGGGTCTCACAAAAACAAATTATCTACAAGTTCATTGAAAACTGTTCTCTATCTCGTCTGCAGGGTTCTTCTGCTTCCAGGAATCCACCACTACTAATACTGTACTTTTCAAGAGGTTGGCAAGATAAGTTATAGAGTATTTATTACACAAATACAATATTCATATTTTGGTTGAAGCAATTTTCCTGTACATGATAGGGCAAATGAGGGCTGGCAACTCCATGCAGTGTACAATGAGGGAAATTTTGACAGGACTGCTGCACTAGCCAACTTTTTTTCCATTTTCAACTTTTTGTCCCATCTGAACAACAAGATGCTTTTAGTTTTTTCAATACATGATAGGGCAAATGAGGACTGTGATAACACCATGCAGTGTGCAATGATGGAAATTTTGCCAGGACAGTGGCATTAGCTTACTCTTTTTCAATTTTCAACTGTCGAGAGATCTTTTACGTGTACAGCCTGTAGCGCAAAGGGCCTTGGTTTATTGTCCCAACCAAACGACTAGATGCTTTTAGTTTTTTCTGTGTATGATAGGACACATGAAGACTAGCAACACCATGCAGTGTGCAATGAGGGAAATTTTGCCAGGTCAGTGACATTTGCCTGCTCTTTTTCGATTTCCAACTGTGAAGGGATCTTTAACGTGTACAGCCTGTAGCACACGGGGCCTCGGTTTATTGTCCCATCTGAACGACTGGACACTTTATGTCAGCCTCTCTTACCTACATCACTGACAAGGGAAAACTAGGTTAAATGGTGTGCATGATCATTTCAATTTTTGTCTCTGACAGTTCCTCAAGTTCCTGCAAGTCTGCCAGTAATCAGGAAGAGATTATTCCAAGAATAAAAATGATTCTGCTGAGCCTGTCAATATCTCTCAGACTGCTAATTGGTCTATGAAGAGAACTTGTCAGGAATAAACATCAAAAAGTTGCTATGGAAAAATTTGGAAAAATATCGAAAAAACTTTGTTGGAATAGAAGTTTCAGTCCTGCAAAATTTTACTTCTGGCAGATTTTCCTGCCAGGTCCAATTCCTTTGGCATTGAATTGATAAAAGGGATTGTAAAAAGGTTTTCTAAATTTTCATGTATATCGGGGACACTGATAGCATCAATTTACATCATTCTAATTTTCAATCAGACGTCTGTGGTTCTTGTTAAAGAGATTGTAAAGAGGTTTTCTAAATTTTTTATGTGTATCAGGGACACTGATAGCATCAATTTACACCATTCTAATTTTCAATCAGATGTCTGTGGTTCTTGTTAAAGAGATTGTAAAGAGGTTTTATGTGTATCAGGGACACTGATAGCATCAATTTACATCATTCTAATTTTCAATCAGACGTCTGTGGTTCTTGTTAAAGAGATTGTAAAGAGGTTTTCTAAATTTTTTATGTGTATCAGGGACACTGATAGCATCAATTTGCATCATTCTAATTTTCAATCAGACGTCTGTGGTTCTTGTTAAAGAGATTGTAAAGAGGTTTTCTAAATTTTTTATGTGTATCAGGGACACTGATAGCATCAATTTACATCATTCTAATTTTCAATCAGACGTCTGTGGTTCTTGTTAAAGAGATTGTAAAGAGGTTTTCTAAATTTTTTATGTGTATCAGAGACACTGATAGCATCAATTTACATCATTCTAATTTTCAATCAGACGTCTGTGGTTCTTGTTAAAGAGATTGTAAAGAGGTTTTCTAAATTTTTATGTGTATCAGGGACACTGATAGCATCAATTTACATCATTCTAATTTTCAATCAGACGTCTGTGGTTCTTGTTAAAGGGATTGTAAAAAGGTTTTTTCTAATTTTGGAATGGTGTAAATTCAAAGTGAATCAATATAACATTACAATGAAAGAAAACAGAATGAATATTTCACAATGGAAACTGTTAGAAATCAGAATGAATGAAGAAACATTAATCTTCGAACTTCAGATAAAAAAAAAGTAGAGTTTCTCGTGAATTTCATTGCAAGATGGAACCAATTATTTGTCCATTTGCTTTGAAATCATTTCCACGAGAGGAAACATTACTACAAATTTTCTCAGACGCGTTCGGAAGATAGTTTTTCGCCTCATTACAGTCGGTAATACTAGAGACATCAATACGAGAGTTTTACGATCCCCAATTTAGATATTTCACCCGTTTCTAAGCCACCACAAAGCCGTCTGCTTTAGTCAAAAGGAACTAAACCAACAGTAACGCAATGATTCGTAAAGTATTTAATGGTATTATGTAGGCAAGGTTTCAATTCAAATCACTTTAAAGGGATAGGTGCGCCATTTTAGGGGTTGATTTGGGTCTTGAATATATGTAAATGGTCTTCAGAAGTACTAGAAATGTACGAAAATCACATAATTCCTTCAAAAATATCTCAAACTAGGAATTTCTTTTCTTATTTTCTATAGATGTCTTTTCTATATATCACAGTGTCTCAAGAAAAGACGAGTCGTCATTTTAACTTTCAAACGTAGATAATTCTAGACACACATGGATTTGAAGGCTCAAATTTTGACAGTGAGTTGTGAACACTATTACTGATTAGCTCAGCAAAAAAATTCCTGTTTCTGAGACTAAGGTAAGATAGGTCTTAAAAATGGCGCATCTGTCTCTTTAAGCAATGATTCGTAAAGTATTTGATGATATTATGTAAGCAAGGTTTCAATTCCAAATAACTTAAATTGAATTTCCACTCGACTCTTTATTGTCAAGGTTGAAAAATCTGAAGCAATATTTGACTTGTGCTTAAAGTTGGGCATTCCGGATATTACCATTTTCAAAATCAGTCATTCAATAAATAACATTTTATTTCAGGGTTTTAAAGAGATTGTAAAAATGTTTTCACAAATTTTTATGTGTATTAGGAACACTGATAGCATCAATTTACATCATTCTAATTTTCAATCAGACGTCTGTGGTTCTTGTTAAAGAGATTGTAAAAATGTTTTCACAAATTTTTATGTGTATTAGGAACACTGATAACATCAATTTACATCATTCTAATTTTCAATCAGACGTCTGTGGTTCTTGTTAAAGAGATTGTAAAAATGTTTTCACAAATTTTTATGTGTATTAGGGACACTGATAACATCAATTTACATCATTCTAATTTTCAATCAGACGTCTGTGGTTCTTGTTAAAGAGATTGTAAAGAGGTTTTCTAAATTTTTTATGTGTATCAGGGACACTGATAGTATCAATTTATACCATTCTAATTTTCAATCAGATGTCTGTGGTTCTTGTTAAAGAGATTGTAAAGAGGTTTTCTAAATTTTTGATGTGTATCAGGGACACTGATAGTATCAATTTATACCATTCTAATTTTCAATCAGAC